GCTAGAATAAAAGCCGTTATGAAGGTAAGTTCGTCTCTGAACTAATGGCCCCTGGGAAAATTTGTTTCCTTGGTCGTGGTTCTTGTGTGCAATAGGTTTGGGGAAAGCTGTAGGCAGTGATGAGGCTGCTCAATTGAGGATCAAGTGCACCTGGATTCAGTTTCACCACTAAGGTTTTGGGTTTGGGTTTTTGGTTTTTTTTTTTTAACTTACTATGTACACTGTGATCTGAGAATAGGGAATCTGAATCAAATTACAGATTGTTGTGAGCCACCATATGATTGCTGGGAATTGAACTCAGGACTGCTGGAAGAGCAGCTAGTGCTCTTCAACTCTGAGCCATTTATCCAGCCTCTGGTTTGGTGTTTTTAAAGACAGTTTGTGTCCCTGGCTGTCCTGGAACTCAGTAGAACAGACTGACTTCATCCTCGGATCTGCTTGTACCACCACCTGGTCTGGTTTTTATGTTTGGTGTGTCTAACTTCGAAGGTGAGTCTTGAATTGTCTGCACAATGTGAGGATCTTTCATGGCTTATGGGGTACGTTGTAGCCTGTGATTGCACAGCTGGGTCTAAACTGAGCAGAGATGCGTGACTAGAGAGCTTGGCAATTTGTTTAGCATTTTTTTCTGCTTTTTGTTTTTTGTTAAATATAAGGTCTCCAAGTTATAAGTGGCTTGGGACTCAATTTGTAGATTTAATGTTGAATGTGGCACTGTAACTTTAGCTAACCATACTACCGTCAAGTGCTGGGGTAATAGACATGTGTGCCAGAATGCCCAGTTTTATGATCTCTTGATTTTTGTGAAGCAGGGTCTCGATTTACCCAAGGCTACCCTGTGACCAAACAGATTTGACTATCTTTCTAGTGCTGGTATTAAAGGCATGAACCACTATGTGCTCAACTATTGTTATAAACAAGCTGAAATCACACTTCATTACTGCCTCTGTCTTGATCAAAAGTTGATGGCCAGCTACTTCTGTGTAGCCAGCAACCTTGAGCTCCACTTAGCACTGTATGTATCTTGTCTTACTGGACTGTCCCCTCAAATTGAACCAAAAATATTAGGTTGATTTTTGTCAAGACAGCCACATCCTTACCTAGAGGGAATGCTATGGCTCCCTGCTAAAGTAGTTTTGTGGAAGACACATAACAGTTTCTCTGAAGTTTTTACTAGATAATAAAATAGGAGAGCTTGAGAGATGACTTGGCGGTTAAGAGCACTGGCTGCTCTTCCAGAGGTCCTGAGTTGAATTCCCAGCACCCACATGGCAGCTTACAACTGCCTGTAACTCCAGCTCAAAGGCATCTGACTCTCACATCAATGAACATACATCAATGAAAATACAATAAATTTTAAAAAAGACAATAAGGGGCTGGAGAGATGGCTCAGTGGTTAAGAGCATTGCCTGCTCTTCCAAAGGTCCTGAGTTCAATTCCTGGCAACCACATGGTGGTTCACAACCATCTGTAATGAGGTCTGATGCCCTCTTCTGACCTGCAGACACGGAATATTGTATACATAATAAATATTTTTAAAAAAATAATAGAAGGATAAAGATATTTTTCACAGGCTTTCTGAGTGTAGTGAATTAAGTACTGGCTGGGTGGTGGTGGCACATGCCTTCAGTTCCAGCATGGGGGAGGTAGAGGCAGACAGATGGATTTCTGCAAGTTCCTGGACAGCCAGGGCTACACAGTGAAAGCATACACAGGAAATAACTAAAAATCCCAGTGAGGCAGGCAAGGTGAGTAATTAATGTAGTTTACCCATAACAACACAATTGTTCGTTTACCCCATTCTCAATGAAGAAAGATTCTTCCCTCAGCCTGTTTGTGTTTTATGTGCCATAAGGCACCTCCCCAAGTGATGTTTTAGGGAGTTCTGTGCTTACCTACCATCTGTACATAGCTAAGCAATCAGATCTATTACGGAAAAGGTCTTACACTCTAAAGAGATGGTTATATGTGACAAACCTGTCAAAGTAAAAACCACCCACACCCTACCTCTTGGTAACCAACCCTTCTCTATACTGTATTACTCTATTGTTCTCCACAGGGCCTTCACTAAACCAGAAACTGCCCATTTTAGCTAAACTGGCTGACAGGAGAGCTTTGATGCCCTTGCCTGCCTGGTTTTATGAGACAGGGTCTTCCTTACGTTGTCCTGGCTACCCTAGAGCTTCTATGCAAACCTGGATATCCTTAACTCACAGCAATCCTCCTATCTCTGTTCCTAGTGCTGGGACTAAAGTTGTAAGCTATCATTTCCAGCTGATTCTCTTGTTTTTAATGTATGTACTAGTCATTAAACTCTGTCCTTTTATCTGCACAGTGAACGGTCTGAGTTGTCTCTGCAAGACTCTCATATGTGATCCGTACTGTTGCTTTGCTTGAATAAAGTTACCTTTCTACTTTTTTAACCTGTGAGCCTTTATTTCAGTTCCTTGAATATGAAACTAAGAACTAGGGCTACCTTTCAAAAAGTTTGTTACTAAAAACAAGGGGAGGTACTGGGTCTAGGAGGTCTGGTTTTCTCAAGTTAGAACAGTTACCAGAGGAAGCTGAGGAACTAGCTTGGTAGCAAATAATATTTCAGTCACAGAAATAGTTATAATTGGCCATCTGGGGATGAGAAAGGCATAATCAGAGCAGCAGCCCACAGAGGAGAAGCAGATCCCCAAGGGAGAGAGGAAACAGGAAGCCTTCAAAGCCCTGTCCTATTAGACATGGCTCTTGAGATCGCCCTGTGAGACAACAGCATGGCATAGTGATTTAGAATCTCAAGAGTCTCGAGATGGTGTACTGTAACACACTTTGTAAATGCAAACTACAGCATGAGAAAAAAGGATTTGTATAAGGTTTATGCTTTTTCCTCTGCTAATAAAGATGCTGTTAGCAGTGAATATTGAAATGCATTTCTATAATTGAAACTGATAACCAAATTTGCCTGTTGGATGGAATCCATATTTATTCAGACAGGATGTAGAACCAAAATGCTAACTAATTGTACTCTTAAAAACACAGATGAAAAACACCATCCACACTTCCAAATGCAAGAAAAGCTGGGCATGGTGGTACATGCCTCTGATCCTAGTATTTATGAGTGGGAGGCAGGGGATTTTGAGTTCAAAGCCAGTCTGGGCTACTCTATTTCAAAGAAAAAGACTACAAGCCACTTCAAAATAATTATGGTCACAACAAACCTGCCCTTTCTTGATCTTCTTGGATAAAAATAGAAAACAACCTTCAAATTCTAAATATTTCTGAATGCAACACTCAAGAGCATGCAATGTCCGTATGGTTCTTTGAAGGAAGACTAGGCCCTGGCATACCAACCAAGACTTTGAGCTTCGACTGTAAATGTGACGAATGGATTCACATTAGAGTACACCAGGGCTATGTCTGACTTGACTGAAATGTCTTAGAAGTATACACACTGTCTAGTAGCAGCTAATGCGAGGGCCAGGAAGATGGTCAAGCAAGGAAAAGAGATAGCTAAGGTACCCTGCCCAACAGAATCTAATAGCTCATAGGCAGAGTTCAGTCCTAGCAACCCAAGTGAATAAAAAGCCAGGTTCAGAGTCAGGCAGTGGTGGCACATGCTTTTAATCCCAGCACCCGGGGACAAAGGCAGGCCAGGCCAGCCCAGTCTACAGAGCGGGTTCCGGAATGGCCAGGGAAATCCTGTCTAGGGGAGGTGGGGGAGTATGCCAGAATCAGTAGCACTCCTACAGGGAGACCGAAAACTGAGGCAGGGGAATCGATAGGAAGCTCTAGGGCTACTACTTAGGCTAAAGTATCCAGTGTAGAAGAAATGGGGGAAAGCTTTGCTTCAAGGGCGAGGATGGTAGCAGACCCACACAGACGTGTGGCATGTAGACAACCGCACATACACAGAAATGATCATAAATACTAAGATGTAATGAGTTACAAATGCAAACCAAGTATGTAGATTCTCATCACATTTAAAATGTGAACTAATTCTACTGTGTTAATCTAATATAGCCAACTTGTGTCACCACATAATTGGCATTAAAAATTAAAACATCTTGGAAAGCTGGGTGGTGGTGATGCATGTCTTTAATCCCAGCACATAGGAGGAAGAAGCAGGAAGATAGATCTATGTAAGTTCAAGGCCAGCCTTGAA